AGTGCAGTACGCGGAACATAATGACGGTTTTCTAAAAGGTTCTTTTCACACCACGCTTCGGTGAGCAGTGTGCGTTTCTTTTCTTATTTGTCGGTATGAGAATTTTTTTCCAAATCCGCTGTTCGTGTACTCCATATTTAGAGGATCATATCTAGGAGAACGTATTTGTGGCATCGCATACTGAAACAACCCGGAGCTGGGTGGGTAAATGGGTGTGTGTGTGTGTGTGGGGGGGGGGGGGGGGGGCGGTTGTAAGCTTTGCACGTGTTTCGTGAAACAAACACGAGCGAACTTGTTTTTATAGCTTTCAGCATATCTTTAATGCACCGCACGAGTCATCGACCATATGTTTGAGCGACAATCTTTTCGGTCCCCAAATTGCTTGGAACGACGGACCGCGCAAGCTCTGTACGATGCACCAAGCTGCCCGGGGGACCCAAATAAATCTCCCCAATACCCAACGTGAAAGCCGATTACAACTCCCTGTAACGCCTAATGAGAGCGCAGCTTTGAGGAGGAGGGGAAAAGGGTACTGGGGGGGAGGTCAGGTGACCCCCCCCCCCCCCCCCTTGAGGTCACCGAAGGTACCCGAGGTCCTCCCGAGGTCCTCCCAAAAGAACCCGAGGCCCCTAGGACCTTGGGAGGAACCCGGGGAGGGAAGCGAGGGGGGGGGGGGGGGGCACGTGATCTCGGGGAGGGGGGGGCCACGTGACCTGGGGGGGGGGGGGGGGGGGTCAAAGAGCTGCGCTTTAAAAACATGAATGACAATAAGTAAATAATAGATAATGTTGACAGAAGGCTGGTGAATGCATTTTTCGCCGAAGATTAGTCATATTTTGTGTGCAAGTCCACGAATGCTCTGAAACCGCGGTGTGAAATTAGCAATGCTAAGTAGAATGAGATGGTTGAAGACTCCTGTGTGACGCTATTGACATAGAATATATTGGGCAGAGAGCCAGGGCACGTGGTGTTCGTTTTTTCGAGCCTTTCCACGATCAACCAATCGTGCCAAAACTCTCTCTCGACAGGCAAAAATTGCTCACGGACTAAACTGTGATCTTCACTAAGTTGAAATGAAGTATCAAGAGCGGTCGTTTCGGTATGAGATAAAGCATTTAAAACCAATGCTCTAAAAAATAAAAAATTATTTATTAGCTGTTTCTGAAGCCTCTACGAACGGTTTATAGATTATGGACAAAATTAAAAATAGACTGCTACTATCCCACCAAAAACCTACATTTTAACACGATCATTTCTAATAGCTTAGAAATGGCGGGGCGCGGTCAGTACCAATTGTCCAACTATCATCGGTTGGTCATCGCCAATAAGGTGGTAACATCATAACGAAAAATCAAAATTTCATCGCGAATAAACGAAGGCCGCCATATTATACGTTTCTAAAGAGCAAGGTCAAAAAATACCCCCAGACACCACGCAATGCAACCTGTATTTCAAATATAGTTTTTTTTTTTTTTCTTTACAAATGCAAGGGAATTGATTGCCTAACATATATATGCAGTGCCACCAAATGCGCCTCGTCGTTCTTGTCTGAACTTTTTTTTAATGTTACAGCGAGAGTGCAGAAATCTGGAAAATCTGAAACACCTACCGCCAGTAAAAAAAAGGGGTAAAAATAAACGGATTTTGTGCAGACGTCAGGGAGAATCTTCGCAGCATTGACGAAGAAAGTGCCACTATTTTGCTTCTCACAAAAAACAAAATAAAGAAACGATTGATTTGATTTCCTGATGCCAGAGCGGGTTTTAAAAACGGTCGGAATCTAAGAAACGCTGGTGACGTTCGGAACTCAAACTTCGGCTCGCATGTTATATTAACCGGGTCTAGTGCTTGACTAGGGTATTGCATTGTCCAGTACATGCTGCTTAAGAGAGCAACCGTATTTATGCGAAACAACGACATAGGACGCAATGCTGGAATAAAAGCCGTTCGCGGAAATATATTTTAAGACGAACTGCATGCTGAAAAAGCAGACCTGTTTATATGCTCAGCCACAAATCTACGATAGAACACTAATTGACCCCCGGTGTATACGCTCTCGGTGGTGGGATATACCAACGAGTGCGGAGGCATGTTCACATCGCGGGTCGAGCAAACACAACATAAGGTCGAAATAAATGTAACACACACGTCCTGGGATTTAAATGGGAATATTTGAAAGTATAGCGACCAAGCAGGGGTGATAAATGCATACGTTACATTATCAGAGCGATGACTACCTTGAGGCGCTAACATTTTATCGAAGAACCGATTCATTTTTAGATGTGAGATAAGTTTCATGAAGACGTAGCATTAACTGAAAGTGGTTTATGAGAAACCAATGAATTAGGATAACAATAACAGAGAAAGTTATCGTATGAGATTTCTCTGTCATTCTCGGCTGTATCTTGGAATTACGTTTCTGTCACGAGGCATTCAGACTCCTTCAGAACTCGTTCGGTATGTTGTTGACACATCGCGTATGAACCACCAAACTCGGAAAGCTGGCCATCATGCCACCGTCCACGTAATAATTGAAATCCGCGGTCCAGCTCTGAGTCCGCCTCGTCTCCATTCATCGGCATCGATCAATCAGCAGCCCCCGCGCGGCCGTCTCCTGGCCGTGCTCTCTTCTCCGAGTGCTTGACCCGCTCCGAGCAGCAGCGAGCCCAGTGTCCTGGCGCAGCCAACATGGCGCTGCGCCCTGGCCGTCGGACCGAACGCGGGGGCCGCACCATCGATCGGTGCCGAAGCCAGCGGCGCGGTCCGCGCCGCCTTGAAGCCCCACTCAGGGAGCTGCCGAGGCGGCGGAGGCTCCGGGTCCTCTGGGCCGTGCACTTGGCGCTTGATATATGACGCCAATATTTGAAACGGCCGGGGAGGAGACAACGAAATCGCATTTGCCAGCGCCGGGCCCGGTCGTTAGGACGGGCACACTCGCTCGATGATGCTTGGCCCGCCGCCGTGCCGCGGGATCCTAACGGTTCGGGCGGGCGACTCTCTGGAAAGCCAAGGCGGCCGTTGGTGTCTCCCCTCGGACGGCCGAAGGAGAAGGGGAAGGGAAAACTTTCGCGAGACGGCCAGCTTTATTGCTACAGAAAGAAGCGGCGCCGCTCTTTGGTGGTTGCCATGGTTAAACAAGCTGTGTCTCTGTGGGACGACGTCGCCGATGTGAGAGTCAGTCCTTCATTTTGCCTCCTAAGATTTGCCTTTTCGGCTGGGAACTAACTAATACGTGTCTCAGGCTGCTTATTACGTCACATTTCACGAAAATTCAATAAGCAGTCAAAGCTTGAAGAGGATATATATTTCAGGGTAGCATCCCAGAACAGCTCCTGGAATCCCGCTCGAGGATACAAAATGTATGTAATGTACGCCCTTCTGCAGGTAACGCAGGTTGTAGGATGCGGGTTGTCAGACGTCCGGCGCACGGGCCATTGAGAACTGCAATGGTAGGCCGTACATTCTCATTGGTTCCCTCGGCTGATCAATACTCGCTTGATATTAAACGTGTCATGAGAAGCACGCATGGGTACAATTTTACTCGGCGGAGTTAGGGTTCAATGTGCATACCGTATATCTTGAAAGGGTTCCTGCTTATGTATCTATATTCGAGAAATGCTGTTAAGCCGTACGAAACTTTGCGTTTCCGCACGGGGCACTCTCCTTTCGATCAATTTTAAACGGCGATGATGGTACTAAAAACAATGCGACCAGCAAACGTAGCCGAGAGAACACATCACTGCTGAGATGATCTTGTTCGAGGCGTTACGAAGGTAAGCCGACGCACTCAAGAGCAGATCATGTCTACTGCTAGCCTTACTAGTTCTAGGTCATTCTTTCCCAAGCAAGACGTCACAGGAGTGCGCGAAATACGTGCTACAGCGTTATTCGGAACATAGTTACTGTCCGACAAAAACTTGAAGGAGACTTAAGCTTCGCCTTTAAGATTCGAGCGCGATAGCGTTATAGGGACCCGCTCTCATCGCCTTCTCAAATCGCTCCTCACGCTCTTCCTGCCAGTGTTGGTAGTGTGGAAAACATGGTCTAGTCCAATAAAGAAAAAGTAAAAAGCGGACATGTCCTAGTCAGTAGCACGTCTGGCTCGCAACCGAAAGGTCGTGGGTACGAAACCCGCCTAAAATTCATCAAATATTTTTTTAAGGCAAGTGAATTACTTTATAAAGTGAAATAATTTGAGATATGCAGCGACCTTTCATTCGCGTTTCATGTCATGTTTTTAATCACTTTCCTTCCACGCGTGACGTCACGTTTCACGTGTGCGCTGTGGGCTGTTTGAAATTCCCGCGCGTGGTCATGTGGCTGTGACGTCATGACCCTATCGACCAATCAGGATTTTCCTGTCACGACGTTGGCTTTTCTGCGACACGAGCTCCTTATCGCGTTAATATATTTTGAACTTCGTGCTTCTTTGGTTGAGAGCAGCTTGTTCGGCCTTTACTAAGTGGTCACCTGGTTCGCCGCACCCAGCTATCACGCACAACATAAATTTGCTCTTTTAAAAGGATACTGAACCGAAATTTCGGGCTCACAAAACAAGGCTGGACGGATAGGCGGAACGCAGCAAAACAGCAAAACATCTTTCATACGGCGATATCTCCAACGGATCGCCATATTTTTGGAAAGGAAGTGCATCACGTCACGATTCTCACTCCCTCTCCTCCTCGCTTCGTCCCGTCGAGCTGGTGAACCCAAGCGAGAAGGAGAGAAGCGTGGCCGCTTCCCCTCGTTCTCAAATTCTCCCGGAGGACAACGACGTCAAAGACCTCGCTTGATCGCGCCCTTCTTTTCCAAAAGTATGGTCATCCGTTCGAGATATCGATGTATGAGTGATGCTTTGGAGTTCGTACCATCCCGTTCAACGCTTCTGCGGCCTCATTTTGCGAAATCCAAATTTCAGTTCAGTATCTCTTTAAGTGAAACAAACTGCCGCCCTTTTTTTGTACATTTGAGTAGATAATCGCCATCAGGCGCGTACTTACAAAGCCGTGCTTGTCGGATATGTTGTTGGTGAGCTTGAGCTTGTGGAAGGACACCACCTTCTGCATCCACTGCTCTCCGGTCGACGGCGAGTCCGGGTGGATGTACATGCGCTTGGGCATCTCTGGATCCGCCTTGCCCGCCACCACCCAGCGGCGGTTCTGGAACTTGTAGCGGCAGTCGTCCGCCGCCACGATGTCCATCAGCATGATGTACTTGGCCTTCTTGTCCAGACCCGTCACTCGAACTTTGTACGGAGGAAACATGCGCCTGGAGAAGAAACAAAAAGGAAGTAAATACGTTAGTGTTTCCTGTGTAAACAGTCTGACCTAGAAACAACAAAAAAAAAATACTATCTTCATTCTAGATAGAGAATTTTTGAAGAACCACTATTCACGCAGCAGTATTGATCATAACGTTTACACGTGCCTTGCACATATGCAACATCAGTTTTCGTTGTGGCGGTCTCGCTGCCCAACGCTCACACCACAAAATAAACGCAGTGGTATTTCACACCAATGAGTTTATTTTTCAGGCAAGAACAAGTAGGAATGTTCACCGGAATGGTGAACATTCATCACTGGCAAGCCATGTATAGATGTGAAGCGTTTTGACAGGCATCGGGCGACGTATATTGCTCAAGCAATTCGCTGTCCAGTCTCTGAACACCGATTTCTAAAATATAGATCTTGCAATTCGTAAACCTGGAATGATTAGGCTTGCGGAAGAGAAAAGAGAATATGAGATTATCAAAGCGTTGATTCGAGAATCAACACTGCTCGAGAGATGACTGAAGCCGAAAGGCGACACGATGTTGCTCCGGAGGTATCCACCTTTTGTCGAGTGCGTCTGTAAGACAATCAGGGTTTCATGACATTGCAACACGATTTTGACAGACGTAAGGATAGTATATGGATGAACTTTCACAATCGACGGGTTCTTTCTCTTGCTGATAATAAAAAACTAGTGTCCTTTTTTTATTTTTAAAGTGGCATGAAAAAAAAATGGCAGAGCCGAGTTTAATTTTTATTTTTTCACTAATCCACGCATGTGACGAAGATCCTTCTTCCCCTCAATCTCACCGAGAAAAGCGGATTTTGACGCGAACAATACGATTCTCTCCATCCCCACGCACCGAAAAGAAGAGCGAGCCTTGGGCGCAGCAGCAGCACAAACCGCCATCCAGTACGTCTGCCCTCCCCCCCCCCCCCCTCACACACAGACACATTTTTATCTTTTCCTCGTTCACCGCAATGCAGATGCTTTTTCTTTTTCTTTTTTTCCACACACTCCACCCTCGGCGTCTTTTCATACCGCACACGCTCGCTTTCCCGTTTTTCTCCTTTGATTCGGTGGCCTCAACAAACCGGCCCTCCCTCTCCCACCGTTTCCTCGTGCTCTTTATTCGCTCGCCCATGGTGTGTCGATCGCTCCACACGCTTCGCCGTGGGAACAGTCGAGGGCGGAACCCCGTGAAGCGGCAGCTGTTGCTACGTAAGGGCCGCCGCCATTCTCTTCTCCGCGTCCCCTCCCTACCGCCACTTCCCCCCCCCCCCCCCCCCCCCCCTCCGCCTCCTGATTCAGGCCCCGTTTTTTTTTTTACTTGCTACGCTCGCAGGTTGCCAGGGCAACGGGGCGCGTCTCGGCGGCAGCCAATGGTGGCGCGGCGACCAAAGGCGTCAACATTGGCGGCTTTCCTGCCGAAAAATCGACACCCATCGAGCGAGTCCTTGTATGTGTTGCCCGGCCGCCGCCCGAAAGACGCTTCGCCTTCACCGCGGGGCGGAGCCGCGGTCGACTCGGACCAATAATAACCGGACTTGCCCCCGCGATTCTCGAGATTTACTTTAGCGCTTCTTTGGCTGTAGGAAAACTGGAGCTGGCTTTTCGCGTTCAAGATGGCGGCGCTGCTGAAAGTCAATCGGGGTGGCTTACCGCATCGCTCCTCCCTTGGCCATCCTTACGCCCCTCTCTGTACCCCCTTCTGTAACAGTTACGAGAGAGCGTCGACTCGGGGCCGCTTGCCGTTTCTAAGTTTGGAAATGACAGGGAAAGCCCGTCGACTCGAAGCCACTTCGAGACGCTTCAGGCATTAAACTTTGAACAGCACCTGCGACCGCCGTCTGCTGACGAAATTATGAAAGCGTTATCGGGTTTCGCTCGTCTCGAACGACGAAATAATGGAGGCAATTTTTGTCTCGATTCTTCGATAACGCAGATGAATACAAATTGCCAGAATTGGCAACATGACACAAGTAGCATGTAAAGGAATTCTTCCTTTTTTTCATCCTGAAATGGTCCCCGCTGGCTTCGTTGCAATGTGTTCTCCGTGGTACTCCGCTGTAGTGCGCGGAAGCCGCACTGCCGTGAACCGTTTCTTTTCTGCTTCTGAAGTATTGACTTTTTTATATGCGTTTCTAATGTTAACGAGTGCCAACTACACTTTATGCGTCACAGGTACATTTTCTAACCTGAGGTCGCTCGTGTGTCTATTATTATTGTTTCTATAGTTTCCACCTTGGAAACACGTATGCAAGCAAGTTGTCACCATGAATGAGCATCATACCTAAATAGATCCGATATTGTGGCACGAAAGCGAACCCCAAATGCTAACGATTGCGCACAGGTATAGATTCCTATCGACAGCGCTAGTTTTATAGGCCCGTTTAGCACACATTAGGCATTCTACTACTAACGTATAAACAAAAAACGCGAGACAGATACCCCCTTTTTTTTAGAACATCATGCGGTTATCTTTCATCTATATAGTAGCCGACGCGGGTCGTAAAAAATGAGCGTACTTGCATGCGCATGATCGATACAGAACAACAAGAGAGGAGTTTTGTTGTGGAGCAAAACAAAAGCTGGTTATCGCAGGCTCGCGCGCTTTGCCATCTCCGTTGGAAGCAAAGTACGCGGCGAAACATTTTTCCTTCGCACGCGAACAACAGACAGCCGACTGTATATTGCTTGTGCTCTCATGAGACACGTCACGCGAACTCTCGGTCGCGACTTGTGTGCCCCAAAACGAGAGAGCTTTGCGTGCGTGTGTATGTCCCCGGAGAACGAGCTCAAGGCTTGACTTCTTTCTCTCTCGGTTTCGCGTTGAAAGCGAAAGCATGCACGTTCGCTCAAAGGCTGACTCGCCTCGTCATTGCCACCAGCAGGTCTTGCAGAGTCTCTCTCAATGAGCGCGACCCTAGAACGCGGCGATACCAAGACGAACACGTCTGCCGCCTGGCGGCGACTCTCGTTCAACTTGAGAGTGTTTGCCGCTTGGGGCAGGTCGAGCGGGGATTCACGAGGGATGGCGTCATGCGCCAGACTTGTCTTCTGGGTGGTATTCGTCTGACTAGAGACACGAAACAAGCTATAAGCTTCAGTATGAGGGCACTGCAGCCATCTTGTTCTTTAAAAGCATAGCCGCATTATTTGAAGCCTTAGCTGAAAGTCCTTAAGCTGTCAATGACGTCGCACTGCAGTGCGAGTAAACTGGCGTGAGTTTCAAAGCAGGTTGGCAAAGCGCACAACCACAGTTGCGCACAACTGTAGGCCATGTCCCATGAGCCTCTATACAATTTAAAACAACCTCTTTTTCTCCGTTTCTGATTAAAGATATGAAACTATTAAAAACTAATTTCGTGTCTTTTCAATATTTATATCTTTAAAAAATGAAAGAGACAGAGGATGTTCTAGAAAATCAATAATTACATCGACCGATCAATCGATCAATTAATCAATCGAACCCGCATTACCCGTAGTCATACTGATGAGGCGGCAGGTGCGAACAATTTAAACATTCCATTTAACGCAATGCTTCATGCGCGCTTATGAAGAGAGGAGAGGGAGGAAAAATGAAACGTAGGATAATTTATCGCTCTCCGCCTCATTTGCAAACACGTTGACGACTGCGTGGCCGAGCAGATTGACGGCCGAGCGAAACAAATGTGGTCAAGGCGTCGCGAAAAGGCAGCGCGGTTCCCCGAAGGCGTACATAAACGAGGCACCCAAGCGAGCCTCAAACCACCGTGTCAGTGCAAACGGGCAATTAAAGTAATTCCCCCTTTACCCCGCAACGCCACTTGACCTTTCGGGGGTTATGCCAACACGCTCGCCGGAGAACGTGGGCTGCAGGAACGATTCTCCTCTCGATCATCACCAGCTCGTTATAAAGGTATACACTCCCATGTGTATGCATGTATACTAGGTATCGACGTGGTCTGGCTACGGCCCAAAATTACACCGGTTGCTCCTTTTGGTTATTCACCGGTCGTGACAGGTTGTTGGGGGCCTGTAATCAACGGAGCTGTGACTTGTACAAGCGATTGCGAGGAAGCGATAAACCGCGGACCGTCGATACACACGCGGATGTGTCGCGAGGACTGTTTAATCGTTGGCACGCCGCAGGTTTGCGCCACTGACGCATTCATTCGTGCTCAAGATGTTAAGTGTAGCCGCTATGGAAATATATAAAGAAGCGGACAAACGAGACGGGTAACTTCCGACTGACGGTTACACCTCGTAATTGCTCGAAGCTCGGCATCGCTGGCTACGGTCGGGGCTGGACACCATATGAAACAGTTCGACAGCCACTAATTTTGATGTCGTTTCCCCACGTCTTCCTGCTTGAAGTGACTGTCGTCGCCATCGCCGATAGAGGAGAGGAGAACCTGGACGTGTGTTTGACCTTAACGGTACATAGTAGCGTTTACAACCACCTCGGTGGCTCGGAGGCAAACCGCCGGCCTACGGAATCTCAGTTGGCGGGTTTTAACCCCGGCCGGAGTGCGTGCCCTTTGACGGAGGACTATTGCGGAAAAGCCGCCGTGCAGGCTAACTGAGATGTCAGTTGCGCCTTAAAAGATCCTCAGATGGTGGAAACTAATGTTCAGCCCAGATTCCCTTCCTTGAAACAGCGCTTAAAACAATAAAATTTTGCTTTTCTTACGTTTTCTTTTATCAATTAGACGTTTCTACGAAGAGAGCAGTGTATATCTTGGACGGAACTAATGTTTGGGTTGTGACTCGTGACAAATATTGTATTAGTAGGCGCCTATCAAGCGCAGTGTTGCACAAGACTCTCAATACCGATCGAGTGCTGAAAGTCTGGCATATACACTGCTACCGAGTACACCGCTACCGCCCACCCGGGAATGCACTAGCCGGCAATTTGCCTCAGAGCCAACCAAACGAATAAGCATCAAACAAATTTAAAAAAAAAACGCCATCCGCATAGTATTTTATTGCACATATTGCACCGCTTGTTGTCT